ATTCCTGATCTAGGACATGTGACATGTAGCATGCAACAATAAGGGATACAATGAGGAACAAAAGAGAAACTTGAGGCCCTAAATTCTCTTCTCATTCCATTCTCCTCCCTCTTTCTGGCATCTATGTTTGGAAGCTTGCCAGCCTACTGCAAAGCTCTTACTCTTTTGGAATTTGTAACCCATTATTTTGTTTTGACTGTGCCAACGGAAGCCACTGCATTCATTAAATGGAGAGCAATCCACAACACCGCAACACAAGGTCAGCATTAACAACCAAGCACAAATAAATCATCCATAGAAAGTATTATTTTTGAAAAGTAGCTCTTCATTATCCCAAGTTTTATACTAGTGAAATGCATAGAACATAACTAGCCCATTTTGGAAAAATGGGGAAAACCTCTCTCTTCTACTAATATTGTGTGTTTCAATTATAATTGCTATAATGTTCTCAGCCACAAGTACTAATTTTTGGCTAATGCTTGCCCTTGGTCCATTAGATGCCCCATTTTTCAGGCTGTAGCAAGGGTGCTAACGGACAAGTGAAGTGTTCTGTAATTGCGCTGCAAGAACATAGGATTAGATTGCTTGGCAGAGGAAATTCAACAGCATGCTCAACTACCTATTAGGCAAACATCGACACTGGAGCATAAAAGCACTAATTAGAAGGGCTGCTTCACTGACACCATAGTTACTCTAGTAGTCAGTTTAGAAAGTGAAGCAAAAGTTAGCAAGGTACAGAAGAAGAATTCATTCTACTTCACTGTGAGACTGTCTGCATTTTTGTTCCAGTTAACACCTTGAAAGTGTAGCTTTAACACTTGCACGGCACACGTGTGCAAAACAGAATGATTTTCTTCTGAAAAATTGTCGGGGCTGTGTCTGCATGGAGGAAAAGAAATGTTCCTGCCTATTTCTCACACTGACCTGTTTAGATAATGTATGGGTCCAAAATGGTCAAAACAAGGGTCCATTTTGTGCTCCAGGGTGATTCTCTGGAGTAAACAAAATCCTCATTTGCTCTTAATCAGGCCAGAAACTTTGAGAATCTCAGGTATGTGGACAATGTGCCGGTGTGGGAACATGGGGAGGAGTGTTGGCAAGTGGGCAAAAGAGGTCAGGAAATGCCTTGATCTGGGTGAGCTGCTGACCTCTCCCTGCCTGGCAATTCCAACTCCTGCCCCAGCACAGTCACTATCAGGTTCACCCAGTTCTTCCAGTGCATACCGTGTTTTTCCAGGAAGGGTGGGGGGAGTGTGTGGACAATGCTGTCGGTGTCAGCCCAGTATGGGGTGCTGGCTGTGCAGATAACGTGCCCTCCTGTGAATCCAGCAAGCCAGGTTTTCCCATCAGTGTGGACACAGCCTGGGACAGGAACAATGGCAGGTGAGGTCTTTAACCTTTTCCTTGCTTGAAGAAACAAACATGGATCTTCAAACTGGGAGAAGAGGTTTAATGGCAAAAGGATTTTCTGTGGCTAGAGTGCAAGATTTCTCTGCATAGCATAGTTCTTGCCCTTTCCATTCTGATAAAACTGGCTAGGTGTGCACATAACAGTAAACCTGGGATCCTTTCACACTATATAGTTATAGCACCATGATTCCACTTTAACTGTCTTGGTTCCATTCTATGGAATCCTGGGATTTACAGTTTAGAGAGGGGCATTTAGAATTCAGCTCCTTGGATGCCTCACCAAACTACGATCCCCAGGATTCTATACAGGATTAGAAAAGCAATTTAAATGTAACCACAGCACTACTGGTATACCTCAGTTAACAATGTGTGATAGTCCGCCATATCCATAGATTCTACCACCCACAATTTGAAAATATTAAAAGATATATATAAATTCTAAAATGTAAACCTTGATTTTGCTTCTCCTACCCCCATTTTTGCTGCCATTCACTCTCATTAGGGAGTAATGATGGCCACAAAAAGACCTTACATTGCTCTCCAAAAAGTTTTTAATAGGGGGCAAAGAGCTAATGGTAACCTCCTCAGAGCCAGGCATTGTGGGTCATGTATCCTGGGATAGCTTCTGTGGTGCTGTGACACAGACAAGCTTCCAGGGCAAGCTGCCCCAACGCCTTGGTCTGAGGACCCCTCAAATCAAGTCATTTGAAGCTAGGCCTACCCTGGAGAACACTAATGGTAGGACTCCTCTTGGCCAAGGTAGTGGCAATGTGAATAACTGTTTCTTTTGCTCTGTTGGCTGAGACAGGTGTGTCTCTCCACCTAAGGAGGGATCACATTGATGTCCAATAGGCCGACTATGGATTTTATCACATGAGGCTGTAAAAGTGGAATTGTAAAAGGAGAAAAGTGTCTTTTGATGGTAATTATCACACAACACTGTGTCCGTCCTGCTGCTGCCTTGCATTCCATTTGTTACTGTAATGCTCCTTTTCATTAATGGACAAAAACCTGTCAGTAGGCTCTCAATCTCTCTGCTATTCCATTACTGCCTTCATATGATAGGTCTCTTCTGCTGAAGTTCCACTTCTCAAGCACTCACGTGGATTGAGTAGCCGTGATTCTGCTCCTCTCCAACTTTTCCCCTTTCTCTCACACTGACTGTGAGGGTGAACACCTCCCTGAAGCTGGCTGCTGTGTTCACATTCACACAGGAGCTGGCTTTGTGAGGCAGCTGGTTCAGCAGTGGTTGTACAAGGATGCTGTGTGAATGTGCACACAACAGCCCCATACTTTTGAGGGGTAGAACAGTGGTTGTGGAGGCCACCATCTTCCTGAAGCCATCTGCTATGTGCATATTCACACAGCAGCCAGATTCTGGAGGTGGTTGGCAGCCATGATCACTTGTTTCCACCCTTCCTCCTGGAAGATGGCGTTCAACAGTGTGGAAAACACAACCATGGATTGCCAAAGTGCTATTGTGGGAAAAAGTATGATGAGAAATGATGTTAAACCAGTATGCTTCCCTTATTAAACTAGTGCGATTGTGGCGGGACAGCAGGCTGATGTGATAATATCCTCTATGAATTACTACAAATCTCCACCCATCCACCCACCCTTCTTCTACAATGCAAAGGAGTTTACAGGCATCCCTCTGTAGACAAGTCAACATTGAAAGGGATTCCCTGGAAGCAGAAAGCCTGAAAAACACTACCAAGTCAATGATTGATAGTGGTGCCTAATGACAGTTTTGCAATAACCATGTATTTCTTACAAATGCTGGCACATTGTAAATACACCAGCCAAATATCTGTGCAACACAGAAGATATTGTGAACTTTATGCCTTGATCACCCCCTGTAGAAAATACCATGATTCATTTATTTACTAGGGGGTTACATGGATTGCTGATGATCCCGAGTGTGTGCATTCAAGTAGGCTGCTCACATTTGTTTTACTGTTTAGCACCGTCACTATGAGAACATCATTGTTTATTATGGCTCAAAGGCAGTAATCATTTTCCATAATGTGTGGATTCTTTTCAGTCAATTACTCTCATGCTTTAGGCCGATGAGAATATATAATCATGCCACAATTATTTGTACCTCTACAGTTGATGCTGAGAGCGCAGTGGGTCAAAAAATTTTAATTATAGTTTTGTACACTTTTATTTTGTATTTTTAATGCACAAAGAAACCACATACTAACCAGCTATACTTTGTTTCTCTCAAAATCTGGTTTGAAATAAAGTACTTTTTAGCACTATCATCACCAAGCCATAGAGAAGCTGGATTTACCACCAGGGGATAAAACAGATTCTAAAGGCTGAATCAAAAACAAAAAAGGTGTCTGGATGATAAAAAGTGTAAGGCAACTGACATATGAGCACAGCTATAATAATTGCCTCAAACCAACAAGTACAGATTCAGCATCTACATCTATGAAGCTGTAAGATTTTAAGGAAGGGGGAAAAGTTCAGATTTCTATGATCTAGCTCTTTCTAGCTCTGTAGAGAGCCAGTGTGTAATAATTTGAGTGTGCTGAACTATATGACTCTGGCAATCAGGGTTTGATTCCCGCTCAGCCATGAAACCCGCTGAGTGACCTTGGGCAAGTCAAACTCTCTCTGCCTCTGAGGATGGCAATGGCAAACCTTTGAACAAATAGTGCCAAGAAAACCCTATGGTAGGTTTGTCTTAGGGTTGTCATAAGTCAGAAATGACTTGATGGCACATGGCACATAACACACACACAGTTTGCTCTGTAGTAATTATCCTGAGATGCTCCAATCAGAGCCTGGTGCAAAAGGTATATATACAAAATTAAAGAACACTGAGACCAGGAGCGTATTTTTGAGTAAGTCCACATCGCCTATTCCAAGTTTTCTTCATTTTAGCAGTTGACACCTCTTATTTCTAGATAGAGCTAATGTAATAAAGGCCAAAGTACCAGAATGGAGGGTGGCTTCCATGTCAGTAGAAGAATGAATCCATTCCAGGTTTTAATCTAAACATTAATGAAGTTGTCTAAAGGGCTGAATGCTATTACCAAAATTGGTTTTTCAACTTGGATAGTTCGCTTCAAGCTTTAAATAAAGCACAGAATGGATTCTCCACTCCATTGGCATGAAAGCGACCGGTTGCCATTCCTGAGTGAAAATTTTATAGCAAAGAAAGATCTGTCTGAGTCCTTCTGAATTATAACCTGTAAACACTTGTAAGAACCAAGATGGAGGAGAGAAAGAAAGTACCCCTTTTTAATTAATCTGTGCCAATACACTCAACTAGGCAGATGGTGGAACAGAACCATCAACACCCATTTGTAAAGTTTGGAGAAATGCTGACTTTCAAACAGCTCCAGAGATCCACCTAAGCAGCCCAGTCCAGGCTGTTGTGTGTCTGCTCTGCTCGGCTCAGGGCAGTGTCTGCTCTGCATAACAAGACCTTTATAAATACAATAGACCCTGTTTGGAAGTAAAGGGATCACCTGAGCGAAATCCAGTAAAAGAGTTCTGCTGGCAAAACTGCTCTACTGGCTATGATCTACTGGCAGAAGAGCCAAAAAGTGGCCAGAGAAGGGTTAAAACTGTGAGCCAGCATGACATAGTGGTTTGAGCACTGGAATATGACTCTGGAGACCAGGGTTCAATTCCTTGCTTGGGCATGAAACCTACTGGGGTTCAAGTTCTCAAGAAGCCTCATGTTTTGCAGCAGGAAAACTTTAGGTGGTGTAGAGGCAAAGCATGCCAATCCACTCCCAATATTAGAAAAAAATTGCTTTACTTTTGTTGGAGGCAGAAGCCTCAAATAGCAGGGTCCCAGTGTGCTGACTCTCTCTTTAGCATTCCCCTCTAAAATGCTAAAATGCAGTATCTTGAAATCCAAAAAACATTTAGGGGTAGCCATGTTGTCCATATAGCAAATCCAATAACATCCAAACAATGATACCTTTATTAGGCCAACCAAAATGCACAATTACATCTCGCAAGTTTTCGAAGCCACACTGGCTTTTTCATCAGGCAAACAGGATAAAAAACTAACTAAACTAAACATCTGAGCTAAGACCAGAAACAGAAAATGCAGACCTATGACTAATATGCAAATCATGAAGGCTTCTTGAGAAATTCAGTGTTCTCTACTTACATAGGAGCCTGTGGCTTCACAAAGGAAGGAGACATTTTGAATTCCAAAGGAGGCATCTTCTTTGAGTTGCAAATGGACAGAGAGCCTCCCCTACCATCTGAACTAAGACCAGAAACAACAGAATGCAGGCCTATGACTTTTTTCTCCTGTTTGCCTGATGAAGAAGCCAGTGTGACGTTGAAAGCTTCCAACATGTAATTGTGCATTTTGGTTGGCCCAATAAAGACATAATGGTTTGGATGCCATTGGATAACTGTATCTATTAACTTCTTATTCACATCTTGATTTCTTACCATCCACTCTTTCTCTTTCTCTCTGGTTCTTCCCACCCTTATCTTCTTTTCTCCATCCTACCCATTCCTTCCTTTTCTTCCCTTTCTTATCTTCCATCTAATGTAATCTTTTCTTTAGCCTTCCCCACCACTCTACTCTTTCTTCTACTTCCGTATCTTCTGTTTCATTTTTGTATATTAATTTATGATTTTTGATCTTTTTAAATTTTATTTCCTATTTACATCACATCTTTTCAGTTCCCACTTCCTCCCACCTTTCTTCACTTCCAATCACCTTCTTTTCATCCACTCTTGGAGGAGAAGCACCAAGGAAGGATTGTGCTCATTTTAAACATTTTGCTAGTTGTCAGTTGAAATGCAAACCAGGTACACTGTGAACCTGTTTGTCAAAGACGTGTTTCATAAAATTCAAGAAGTGAAGCCATTGAGGAGATTTCCAATTCACCATTTTAAATTTAGCTATTTGACAATCTAGCCTGAGAAGATCTGGTTGGAACAGACAAAGACTTGGATAGCCACTAGCAGAGACCAGTACAATAAAGAATGATTAAAGAGATTGAAAAGAAAAGAAAACACATACACACACAAACATGTGCCATGTAGATAAATAAAAAAAATCTTTTTCTTTCTCGGGCAAGTATTAATTTAACAATCAATGCAATTTCCTCTCTGGAAGGCTCCAAGTTCTCTATCTAGAAATAAGCATGATGGAAACAAAGATATCTCATTTTGGCACACCCAAAAGGAGCAGTTCTTTCAACAAGGACAACCAAACACAAAAGGCTCTTTTCACAGCAGGTTGACTAAACAGTTCATGTTACTATAGCAGGAAGCATGGGATGATAAAACAGAAGAGATGAGTCCTGGCACACAGCCACAAAAAGCAAAGTCCACTATCTGCTCTGCTGGCTCAGCAAGAGCAGAAAGGCTCTTCCAATACTTTCTGCCAAGACTTGCCTCCAGCTATTCAACTTTACTTTCAAGCACTGCATTCAGATTAGAAAAAAAGAAGGAAGGGAGGGAAGCAGGCAAACAAGTGTACAGCAGAAGAGATTGGGGCAAATGTTGTCCGCTATAAAATGTCTCTTATGTGATAATAAGATATTTATGCCCGCTTTGAAAATTGAAGACTTGTGCAGAGACCAAAGCTTGGGATTTTTCAAAAAGTAATTGGTTCTTGTTCTACTGTCGTCCCTCCATTCTCGCAGACTCGAAATCCGCAGTTTTGCATATTCACAGAGGGGCGACCTCTGTTGATATCAATGGGGTTCACCCCCATGGGTGTGTGCCTGCATCATTCAAGCCTATGGGGCTTGAATATTGGCGAATCTCTGTTTTTACGGGGGGTGGATGGGAGGGCCCAGAACGGATCCCCCACAAAAACAGAGGGCCAACTGTAGTTCTGAATCTTTAAAGTGATTAGTTACAATTACTGTTACTTTTTAAAAAACACTTTACCTTTCTGTTTGTCTATAACAAGGGTGGAAATGCCTAGCATTCATCATTGGCTATGCTGGCTAGGATTCCCACCTCTTCTTGATAATGAAAACCATTGCTTTTTATTAGAATTAAAGAACAAAGGCAAATAATTGGAATACTATAAGCTGCTAGCATGTGGTACAAAACCCAGCCCTCTCCCAATCACCTTGTCATTATCTCAACATTTGTAACAGGATACAAACTCCCAGCACAAACCAGCACTTAAATCAGGTGAGGCCAGATCAAAGTAACTGAAAGTTGTTTTTGGAATTTGCATTGATAGCTAAGTGCTTGAAATAAAATGTACCTCTGGAGAAAGATGTTCCTGAACCACCTGAAGAGGACTGCACTGTCCATATATATACAAAAAATAAAAATAAAATAAAAATAATTATTTTTTTAAAAAATCCTGGGGCCTTTCCTTTCCCTGGTGGCGCAGTGGTTAAATGCCTGTACTGCAGCCACTCACTAATAAACCACAAGGTTGTGAGTTCAATACCAGCCAGGGCTCAGACTTAACTCAGGCCTGCATCCTTCTGAGGTCACTAAAATGAGTACCCAGCTGTTGGAGGGCAATGAGCTTACAGGTGTAAACTGCTTAGACACTGCATAGTGCGGTATGAAGTGGTATATAAATGAAGCTGCTTTGCTTTTGCTTTGCTTTCTCCTCTCACTGATCCCTGCCATACTCACATCATCTGTTCAGCATTTTAGAAGGTGAAGCCACAGCCCATTTCTACCAAAGGGCAGATGTTTGGTGAGCAGTGGTGTCACCCCACCCTTAGGGTCTCACTTAGTGCATCCGGAACCCCACACACTCCCCTACTAACGCCCTTGCTTCAAGACTCAATCCTTTTACTGTCTCAGACACAGACTCTCTCAGACACAGACTACACTAAGGCCAAAGCATCTATTTTTATGTCTCAAATAGTACATTTTTTTAGGTATCAAACAGATGTATGAAATGTAATGTTCTAGGTTTCTAATTACCAGTTCATTGGTCTGCTCACTTCAGAAGGGTTGGACTAGCTCTGTAGTAAAGCATTTGCTTTAAATACAGAACTGTTCATCTGCAACCATTGTGAAAGATCTGTATCTGAGAAGTCCTGGAGAGGTGCCACCAATCGGTGTAGATAATACTGAGTTGGACAAACCAATGGCTTGCCTTGAAATGGGGCAGCATACTATGTAAAGCAATTTTAATAGTAGTAGAGGGATTGTATTTTTCCAGGGCAACTGAATATTGATTAAAAATGAAGTATTTGTGCCCAGAATGCTGGAAATGCAACATTAGGTGCAACACAACCATAACCTCCAACTGTCCCAATTTGGCAGGAACTGTCCTGATTAATCCTCTGTTGTTCAACTTTTTAGATGCTCCTAAAATGTCCCAGTTTCTCTCTCTTCCTCCCACTTTCCCCCTTTGTCCCCTGCTTACTTCAGTTACCACATACTTAGTTTGAAGAAGTGCACAAGTAGTTCACACTCAATTCAGTAGGGAAGATAGGAAAAGAGGAGGTAGAATCTTATTTTTCTCAATACACTCAGACAAAAGTAAACTGCTTCTGTGTTCTTCCTCATTAATACCTTTCGCCATCTTAACCACTCTTTGATATTGCTCGGCCATACTTGTCATAGTTTCTATCTGTGAAATGTTAGAGGGTATGTACAACTAAAGGGCAAAACAGATCACTCCGAAAGAGTAGCTTCTGGCCACTCCTTTGAGCACCGGACTGGGGTCGCAGCAACCACAAGCCATGGCCCCGATCCAGCATTTTTCCAGCCCCAAAAGAAGTGGCAAATGCAGCTCCTTTTTGGAGCAGAAAAAAGCCACCCTTTTCGCTGTTGCTGCGGCTCTTCTGTGCTCCTGCAGTGTGCAGCACCTAATCGCTGCGCTGCGGGAGCGTTGCAACATTGCCTGCCATCTGGTCAGGTGAGTGGCGTGACACCAGCTTGGGGGTAGTATCAGGGTGTATGTTGTCCAAACACCATGCTGCCCCAAGCTGGCACTTACTGCTGGTCTGTTCAGCCCCTACGTAGGGCCTAAATAACCTACAGACACCAGATCCTAGCTGATCTTGGGCCAGGGATAGCCCTGGTTAGTAGTTTGATGGGAAACTACCAATGGATCCCAGGTGCTGTAGGCTGTACTTTAGAGGAAGGAACTGGCAAAACCACCTCTGAGTACACCTTGCCTAAGAAAGTCCTATGAAATTCAGGGGTTCACCATAAGTCAATAAGCAACTTGAAGAAGCACACACACACACAACTAGACCTATGAAGAAGATCTCTAGTTGTTATTAAAAATGCTCATAGGGACTGATTTATATCCAGCTCCAAAGTGAGGCACTGTGAACTGTATATTTTCCTATAACATTAAATAAGAGGAGGGTTAAAATGTCACAATAATTACAGAATATAGTGTGACTGTTATGTGTTCTGATATTGAAGGGGAGGCTTAACATGCAGGTATCAGACAGAGCGAAAGATTTCCCCCCCCCTTTCCTGCCCACCATCAGTTTAACTTCTCAGATGTCACAAAGGAGGCTGTGCAACTTCAGGATTGGCATCTGAGTGCTGAAATAATTAGATTTTTTCCCCAAGATCCATTTGCACATTTTCTTTAATTAAAGCCTGTACGTATTCCCTAGATTCCCTGGGCTTTTGAGTAACTTTTTATGCACAGAAAAGAAATAGATTAATAGTTCTGGAGCCTTTGAATGGCAACACAGTTATCTCTGCAATACGG